ACTCAGTTTGTTGTTTGGAAAGATCTCCATGGCGACAGGTGCAACTTAATTACTCAAATCTTTTTTTTTTTCGAAACGTTTTTAGAAGATGTGTTCAAGTCTTCTTTTCATCTAATAATTTAATATATTTTAATTAACTTTTTTTAAATCCTGACTGTACATGTAGAGGTTTTGAGGTATATATTGAGGGCCAATAAAAGAAAAAGAAACTCTAAAAGTCCCTGTAACTCAGGCTGATCTCGTGATGAACTCGCCTGTGCTGGTGTTCAAACCGCACAGACCGCACCGAGGAAAAAAAATCCAAATGTTTGTCGTTTGAGGCTGTGGTTTGCCCCGAGTACTCTGTATTAAGCTAGATTTTTAAACCGTGAGTAACAACTGGCTATCAAACGTCCCCATCTGCCTTTTATGAAAACGCGTTTTTGGAGGTGTCGCTCCATGTTGTGTGGTTACTTGATCTGATCTGAAATGGCAATTTTCAATGCAACAGAAATTTGCACTAAAACTTGATGTCATAAAGAGGCATTCATGACCCCATCCCTTATAAACACCTAAAGTAATCTTCAGAATTTATTCTACATTCCTCTATCTGAGAAGTCGTTCACGTTAAAAATGGCCCAACACTTGTCTTCCCTTGTTGTTGATTGAAACATCAGTTCACCTCTACCCAGCCATGGCCCAGTAAAATCAAATATTCCCTTTTTTTTTAACACTGGACACACGAAAAACAAATTCACCGCCCGTCCCAGATGTTGAAAATCCATGGCAGCTGTGGCTAATCTGTCAGGGTTATAGAAATTTGTACCAGCCATCATCATTTCAGCACTGTTGAGCAACACATATTCTCGGTTCTTGGTGACCCCGTGGCTGAAACTCCACACGGAGTTTCTGCCAACAGTGTGGGCATTTGCGAAGGCTGATTTTTCTCTGAAGGTTTAAAACCAATCACTCAGCGTTTTGGCTGAGCATAATTCGATTATAACGACAAGTGAAAAACAGAATTACAGTTATTGTAGGCACTCACCGGTCACCAGGACAACTAGCCATAATACAGATGATTTTTGGAAGTGGGGATTCAAAGGCTGGATTCCTTCCCCGGTTCTTGATGAAGGAACCTGGCTCAAGCAAGAACAAATCCCATCTAATTGTTAATGATTTTCACCAACCCGAGAGTGTTTAAAAGTACATGCTAATGCAAAGTTATGATGCTACCATGCCAATTCCCAACTGCTTTTGGCAAACTGGCAGCTACGTACCGAGCTTCAATGTCTTCTCTGAATACAGACACCCAACACTTTCAAGGGAAATTACAGTACTTAACTTAATCACGTACCCCGAACAGAGTTGTGGATCTGCTGGAGGCTGACGCGTTGAAACGTTGTGTGTTAACAACACTTGGTTTGTCTTTTGTCTGCAAAGCAATTTGCTGAATGTACTCTGGTCAAATGTTTTTGGATGCATTTTACCTGATTTGTGAATGGTAAAGTACAAATTTGTGATGAAATGCTCGTTAATTATCTATCTATCTATCTATCTATCTATCTATCTATCTATCTTGACTGACACATCAAAATAAATTAGCTTTACAAAGCTTGTTGTACATTGTATTTTGGTGGCTATGTAATCTAATCAAATACTAACTTTTTTTTTTTTTTGTGTTATTTCTTGTATATAAGAGGTTACATGCAATGTGCTCTTAACATGATCTTACCAATATTATTTGCAGCTTTTCCAACATTTCAAACACTTTTCTGGATCCTTAACTAGTGTTTGAAATGCTCAATATGAGGGTTTGGTGCTGAATTTGATCTGTTAACAAACAGCAAGTTAGTTTCGAGCGGTTAAAAACCAAAATACATTTAGTGTCCAATTACATCTTTGCCAAACATGATCTTTCCATTATATATGACCACAATTTTCCCCTTAACTATGAATTAGCAGTCATGCGTAGATATTTTGAGAACAATATCTAAACATCTCTTCTCTCTTTTTCTGGTGCTTTGAGTGGTATAAGAGTTCCCCTGTTAGCCTGGAGGCCATTATCTGCTTAAACTTGCTCGCCTGCTTTACTGTCAGAGCTTTAATTATACTCTGTGCTTTGCACCGCACACAGAAGA